TACAAACACACAGATACACGTTCACAGCACTCTCTGATGAGTTGTGTGTGTGTGTGTACTTGTCCTGCAGATATTTGGTAAGATAGCGTTGATAGATGGAACCCACATCAACCGGAACAACAACTTCCAGACGTTTCCTCACGCTGTGCTGCTACTCTTCAGGTGGGTGACATCACACAGCACCACAGGTTAGATGAACTACAGGTGGGTGACATCACACAGCACCACAGGTTAGATGAACTACAGGTGGGTGACATCACACAGCACCACAGGTTAGATGAACTACAGGTGGGTGACATCACACAGCACCACAGGTTAGATGAACTACAGGTGGGTGACATCACAGAGCACCACAGGTTAGATGAACTACAGGTGGGTGACATCACACAGCACCACAGGTTAGATGAACTACAGGTGGGTGACATCACACAGCACCACAGGTTAGATGAACTACAGGTGGGTGACATCACACAGCACCACAGGTTAGATGAACTACAGGTGGGTGACATCACACAGCACCACAGGTTAGATGAACTACAGGTGGGTGACATCACACAGCACCACAGGTTAGATGAACTACAGGTGGGTGACATCACAGAGCACCACAGGTTAGATGAACTACAGGTGGGTGACATCACACAGCACCACAGGTTAGATGAACTACAGGTGGGTGACATCACACAGCACCACAGGTTAGATGAACTACAGGTGGGTGACATCACACAGCACCACAGGTTAGATGAACTACAGGTGGGTGACATCACACAGCACCACAGGTTAGATGAACTACAGGTGGGTGACATCACACAGCACCACAGGTTAGATGAACTACAGGTGGGAAACAAGTTGTATCTCTCCATCTCTCTCTCTTCCTATCCCCTCTTTAACTCTCCCTGCCCTCCCGCTCCCTCTAGGTGTGCAACAGGTGAGGCGTGGCAGGAAGTGATGTTGGCGTGTCTGTATGGGAAGAGGTGTGACCCTAAATCCGACTACCAGCCCGGGGAGGAGTACAGCTGTGGAGCCAGTTTCGCTGTCATCTACTTCATGAGCTTCTACATGCTCTGTGCCTTCCTGGTACACACACACAATCTCTCACATACACACACACACTCTCTCTCTCACACACACACTCACACACACGGCTGTGCCTACACACACTCAGTGTATGACCCCTCCGCAGATCATCAACCTGTTTGTGGCAGTCATCATGGACAACTTCGACTACCTGACCCGTGACTGGTCCATCCTCGGCCCCCACCACCTGGACGAGTTCAAGAAGATCTGGGCTGAGTACGACCCGGAGGCCACGTGAGTGTTTGTGTTTCGTCCGGTGGTGATGTATGGCCTGAAAACTTAGAGATGTTAGGTTTACCTTATGGCCGGTCGACATGCCAATATCAATGCATTTGTTTGCTCATCCAATCACTGCGTTACGGCTGTTAGATTCGGTATAGTAGCTGTTGTGCGCCTTGCTGTCCTGCAGGGGGCGTATTAAGCACCTGGATGTGGTGACACTGCTACGTAGGATTCAGCCTCCTCTGGGCTTTGGAAAGTTCTGCCCCCATCGAGTGGCCTGCAAGGTAAGAGACTATGGGTCCAGTGTGTTCATTTACTGTACCGACTCAAATTCTACTCTCCTATTGGTGCAGCAGATGCCTGTTTTTCATTGGTCGGTTGTGCCTGCAGAGACTAGTGTCCATGAACATGCCCCTGAACAGTGATGGAACAGTCACCTTTAATGCTACACTGTTTGCTCTTGTCAGGACTGCACTGAAGATCAAGACTGAAGGTGTGTGTGTGTGTTTGTGTGTGTGTGTGCCAGTACAATACAAAGCAGGAGGCAGTGTCTGGTCCATTCGAATTGTCATATTAGTCATCCTTCCTCATGTTCGTAATCTCATTGGTTAGGGAACTTTGAGCAGGCCAATGAGGAGCTGAGGGCCATCATTAAAAAGATCTGGAAGAGGACCAGTATGAAGCTGTTGGACCAGGTCATCCCACCAATCGGAGGTGAGTTCAAAGGTCATAATCATTGACGTTCCGCACTTTCGTTTATTGCCAGTTCTAAATGTTGGCGTGCCTGTGTGTGCATTTGGCTTCTGTGTGTGTGTGTGTGTGTGTGTGTGTCTGTGTGTGTGTGTGTGTGTGTGTCTGTGTCTGTGTCTGTGTGTGTGTGCCATCTGCATTGAATGTCTCAGATGATGAGGTGACTGTGGGAAAGTTCTACGCCACCTTCCTGATCCAGGACTACTTTAGGAAGATGAAGAAGAGACAGGAAGAGTACTATGGCTATCGGCCCACCAAGAAAAACGCCACCAACGAGATTCAGGTGACATGTCAATAGACCTCTAATTACATAATAGTAGGATTAAAGAGCGTTGCAAGGAATTATTTTTTTCTGTTTGAGATTGAGGTTCGAGTCTACAAGGTTTGTGAGTGGGTGTGTGAGAGTGTCTGTGTGTGTGAGAGAGTCTACATATAAAGAGTAATATGTGTGCACTTTAATGACGATGATACATGATCACTTTTTTGACATGAATGCCCTCCTGCAGGCGGGTCTGAGGAGCATTGAGGAGGAGGCCACCCAGGAGCTGCACCGGGCCATCTCAGGAGACCTGTTGAACGAGGAGGATATGGACAGGGCCATGGAGGACGCAGCAGAGGAGGCCATTTTCAGGGTGAGAGGAGGTCAGGAGAGATTAGGGGGAGAGGAGGCTGAGGCGTAGAGAGATAACGATTCTACAGAAAGAGCGGAGGGAGATGTGTCCAGGGCGAGGAGGAATCTGAACTGTTTCTACACTGTGGTCCGACTGACTCGCACACAGTCGACGCCGATAGAAGTTCTGTCTATTGACCACAAGTATAATAATAACGACCAACTGTTCTTCTGTGTTCCGGTGGGCAGCGGGCAGGTGGTCTGTTTGGGAACCATATCGATTCCTTCGCCATGGAGGAAGGAAACCATCACCCAAACGCCACACAGGTGATCACTTCATGCGTTCACTTTTACAGTAGTCATAGAAATGACCGTAAAGGAGACTCAATATTATGTACACGTACTATATTAATCACAAACGCACACAATGGATAAGTGAAAGCCACTGAAGAAAATACAATTGCCTATTGTGTTATATAATATAGTGAGGTGTGTTCAGAGAAAAAAAAACGAATGTAGCCATCAGTGTCTTCCACAAGTCACATGATCAGGAAGAACCTGGCGAAGGTGACACGTCCATACGTGTCTCCGTACAGGTGACCAGCCAGCGGCCCTTGCAGATGAGCCGATACGACGAACAGGAGGAGTCCAGCTCACCTGCCTACCACGCCAGCGAGGACTTCTTCCCCACAACGCCCAATAAAACAAACAACAACAATGTCAACAACCAGGCTGGAGACAGGTCTGTGTGTGTCGGTCTGCGTCTTTGTCTGTGTGTGTTTTACAGGAGAGTTCATATTACACATGAATAAAAGATGGAGAACATTCCGACTCTCTTTTCCATCTGTAGCTTTCCTTACGCGACAGACGACCGGGTCCAGGTGTACACCATCTCAACCAGCAAAAGTCCCAGAGACACGACAGACTGGGTCCCGCATACAGTAGCGGGACCCAGCCGGGACAGACAGACACCAATTACCCAGCAGGCCCAGGGCCCAGGTGCTTTTGACAAACTCATACAGGAAGTAAGTGGTCACCAGGGAATGAATCTTCAATTCATTTAAATACATATATAATTTAATTACTTCGACATTATCACATTTGGAGTACGACTCTGACAGAGGCATCCTCCCTTCTCTGTCATTTGCCTCCAGGTCTTGATAAACGGGGGGCTGGATAGCTTGGCTAGCGACCCACGCTTTGTGTCGCTGACCAAACAGGAAATGGCCGAAGCTTTCGACTTCGACGCAGTAGAGATGGAGTCTTCTGCCGCGGAGATAATGAACGGCCGCCGTGGGAGGGTGGCCACGCCTCCAGTCAGGCCCCCCCGGAGGTCACGGAGAGAGGCCAACCAATCAGCCACGCCCAGTGATCTTGTGTAGGCCAATAGGCTGCGGCGCGCACAAAGCATGAGACGTCGCGTTCTGAGGCATTAAACGCCACTGACGGCAAAAAGGACAGCCCTGACTGGATGCGCTCGTGACAAGTGATATCGTCTGATTGGTTAAGCAGGTTTCTAAGTGCCTGTAACTACACAGTTGTGGTGTTTCTCCGACTGAATAAATGCTCCCCTGGTTGATTTTAATTGAAAACACTTTCTGGGAGAGTAGACATGTTGTGTGGACATCTCTTTGCCACGTGTGGTGGGTTCACGGTGCCGACTACGGTTTTGTGTTAAGACCAACATCACTCGGTCTCAACCCAAGGAGGTTTTCCTGGCATAAAATGTTGGCCCTGTTTGAGTGTCATTCCCTTACGCCTATGAAGTAATCACTAATTCACTGACAGTTGGCAAGTCAACTGTTTTCTTAGTGGTTAGTTCGGTCTGAAAGGGAAACATTTATTTTGTAAGTATTCTTGCAGGGTGGGACGTTATGTTTCAGGGGGGAATTTATTTATCTTACAGGGCAGGATATTGCTGGACGGGGACGTTTATGTGCTGGGTCATGTCTACGGTGTCCATGTTAGGACACACTGTACGCTACAAGGTCATGGTGAACGTGTGCTTACTGCACAGATCTCTTCACAATGCTTGAAATGTTTTTGCTTTAATAATCCTATTTGCCAAATGTGTACATAAAGCGTGGACCAGTGTGGTCCGGTCGAACAGGACAGTCGTTGCTGTGTACAGCTGGCCACGCTACTGTAGAAAACTGAAGAGAAGAGTATGTGCTTAAAGATTAGAATGAAAGGTAAAGTGAAGGTCAGCGGTTACATGGGGAATTAGAAAGCAGCGGTGTACGGGTCAGATGTTGACAGTGGTTATGGTGTATTATTAACTGGGTAGTTAGGCCAGCCAGGTTGCTGATTATTGAGTACGTACGTTTTCATGCTTTTTTGTATTTGTCCCCTGTGGGAATCGAACCCACAACCCTTGGACTGTAAGCATCACGACCTACCAACTAAACAACACGGTACCAGTTCTTGTATATGTGCCACAACTGCTAATTTATAAGCATTAGAAACATGGAAATTAAAGTCTAACGTGGGATTGTTGTCATGCATTGTCAATAGTAGTTAAGACAATTGATTGTCAAACTTGAATCCAGGGGACTGGGGACATATTGAAGGGGCTAAAACCAGACTAGTTCTTTCATTTTTTATTCATAAATTTTTAAACCTTTTCTAATAGCAAAATGTCTATTAGTGCAAGAAAGCTTTTTCTGTCCTGACTAAAGACGTTTATTTAAAATGTTTCTTCCCACGCCTTAAGTCCTTGTGTACTGCTGAAGTCCTGGTAAAACTATTTTTAATGATATTTTTGATCCCACTCCAGTTGGCTTTTGATTATGATGGGGGAAATTTGCATGAAAGGAAAACCCGCCTTCAAACGTTTGACAACGACGGGTCTTGACTGCTTGCAGGGAAGAAAAACAATTTGGAATTCGGGAATTCTCATTAACGTCCCTTGAAGTTATTAATGTACAATAGATGGAAATAGATTTATTTTTCAAAATGATTTATTTTCTTTCACCGTCTATATTAAAATCTACAGCCTAATGAAAATATATTTTTGGGTATTATATACTATAAAGAATATTTGTTACGATTTCAGTCAAAAAGACACCCAGCAGTAATGTGAGAGGAAATGATCGATTCAATTGTTTAAATAATGACTCATCTGTAATTTGGTTAAATGGACACAAAAATCGAGTGTTATTTACGCCAAAAAACTCTTGATTTTAAAATTAAACAACTTGACTTTTTTAAACAGCGGTGTTTTGAGTTCATCAAAAATTGTGTAGTATTATTATGTGAAGGAATGGTGGTTTACCCAACATAATGGTGTCGTGTGCCCAACATAATGGTGTCGTGTGCCCAACATAATGGTGGCGTGTGCCCAACACAATGATGGTGTAACTAACATTATGGTGGCATGTACACAACAGAAAGGTGTGTGTATAACGATCATTAAAAATATTGTTGCAAAAAAAAACATACCTTGGTCTGGTGATCCTTCTTTAGACCAACAAATATCCCGGGATTGTTCTAATGACACGCAATGATCTAACGTGTCATTAGAACAATGATTGTTCTAATGACACGTTAGATCATTACGTCATCATGACGATTAGTCTCTCAGACCTTTTATAGTTCTGATGGGATTATTATGATTTATTCAAGACATAAATTTGCAAGCTGTGCCTCGGCCTCAAAATCATTTTTATATCTGTCTGGGATATGAAGGCAGTTTTATAACAGTTTAAGTGATGTCAAAAAATTATAATATTTCCAACTGTCTGAAAATCAACCCTTTAATTGAATTCATTTTGATGTGGAAAATCATAATTTCGCTATAATGTTACAGGAAATGTTAACTAAAGAAATAAATTGCGTAATTTGCATTCCTGCCACGTGAATCCTGATTAGGACCTCCTCACCGAGTCTCTGTTTCTACTTGGAGAGTAATTGGATTTGGAGGCTCAGATTCGGGGTCACGGTAGGCTACAGCAGGGCTATAGAGCGTATTCAGTAAACCCAGATTCCTGCGCCTCGATCGCGTTTGGCAGCTGCGGTGCAAGACCGGGTGCAGACTGGGCACAGACCCAGACCGGGCACAGACCCACAGAGCGGGTATAGACCGGGCACAGACGTTCCGGTGAGTCTGGTAAGTGGTCACTCAAATCCCTTCTCTGCGGACTCAGTATAGCTCGTTTGTTTTCCTAATATCGCATATAAATATCATACTACTGTGTTGCTGGCCGTGACGTATGAAGACGTTGACGCGGGCACGTCAGGTCCAGACGTGTGGCGCAGCGTCATTTCCACTATAGCCCGGTCAATTAAAGTGCCACATCTCTCTGGATGTGTCGCCATCGCAACGGGAGGATGGAGCACGGAGATGTTGTTTGTTCCGCGGCATGGATCACAGCTGATGATGGGGTCGGGTATGTTGGATTTATGGATGGTATGGGGTCGGGTATGTAGAATGTATGGATAGTATGGGGTCGGGTATGTAGAATGTATGGATAGTATGGGGTCGGGTATGTAGAATGTATGGATAGTATGGGGTCGGGTATGTAGAATGTATGGATAGTATGGGGTCGAGTATGATGTATGGATAGTATGGGGTCGGGTATGTAGAATGTATGGATAGTATGGGGTCGAGTATGATGTATGGATGGTGCGCCGCTTGTTTTGTTCTCTGCGTGTTTCCGGATGCCTGTCTGTTGCTGCAGTTGTCATATTATCTCTAGTTATTGATTAACGACCAGTGGGTTTCGACACCCTGTGTCATTAACGACCATCCTTATGATTTATTCACTGGGTTTGTCTCTTCAAAACTTTGCTCACATTCAAGAGATTAACCACACTTTATGTGCTCAATAACATATTTTAACTGCATAGTAGCAACAACAAAAAGTGCCATGAAAACACTACAATCCTGTCCATGTGTGTGTTGTAACCGAACAGTCTTCACTATCAGAGACCGAAACCAGACACGGGTTGTAAACCAGAGATCATCATCATCATCAGGACCTGACTGCTGTCTGCATCGTCATGTCACAGCTTATTGCCAATATGGTTAGCTGGGTGAGCTGTTGAGAGCAGAGCACGAACTGATTCTGTGCTGGAGGGAACGGACCGGGTCACTCCTCCACCAGAATAATCCTCCTTCTGTCAGGGCTTAGTGAGGAGGCGTACGGTTACAGATGGGAACTGGGCGTCCCGCCTATAGGCTCACTGTCTGTAGAAAAATCGCTTGCGGGCCCGTTGACTACTAGCTGGGCCTCCCCACTGTGACACCTGCACCACAGCCCTCTCATTTGTTCTCATCCAGACCCAACATGCAAGTGACCTCCATTATAGTACGTCGACCTGGTACGGGTAAAGCCATGTCAGGGCTGGTGACCTCCGATCACATTAGGGTGTCTCCTGTACAAATGGCTGATTCATGAGCTGTTCCCCCTGCAGACAGTGAGATGCTGCCACGTCCAGACTTCCAGCCGGAGGGGAGGGATGAGAAGAGCGCGTGCCCGCTGTCTCGTCCTCTTCCTCACGAGAGGGTGACTCTGATGGTGGACGGGACTCACTTCGTGGTGGACCCCATTCTGTTCACCGCCCACCCCGACACCATGCTGGGGAGGTAAGACCCACGCCCTTCATCATCACAGTCTGTCAGGCCCGAAACCTTCACCGTCACTGTCTGTCAGGCCCGAAACCTTTACCGTCACAGTCTGTCAGGCCCGAAACCTTTACCGTCACTGTCTGTCAGGCCCGAAACCTTTAACGTCACAGTCTGTCAGGCCCGAAACCTTTACCGTCACTGTCTGTCAGGCCCGAAACCTTAACCGTCACTGTCTGTCAGTCCCGAAACCTTTACCGTCACTGTCTGTCAGGACCTTCATCATCACAGTCAGCCTTCATCATCCCTGTCTGTCAGACACAAACCCTTCATCATCACAGTCATTCTGTCAGAACCGTACTCTTCATCATCTCTGTCTCTCAGACCCAAACCCACGTATATATCATTAATATACCATCAAATGTCCCCTCTTTATGTCAGGATGTTTGGTCCTGCCCGTCATTTCACACGAGCAAACACCAGGGGAGAGTATGAGATTGCTGAGGGAATCGGAGCCAGCATCTTCAGAGTCGTCCTGGTGAGTTTCTCTGACTGGTTCTCCTGAAATTACAAAATTACTTACATCGTCCGGTAGCTAACCTACTTTCCTCTCCCTCTTGTATTCTCAATGTCTTCCCTGCTTACTCTGCATCTCTCTGTCTCTCTCTGTCTCTCGCTCTCTCTGTCTCTCTCGCTCTCTGTCTCTGGCTCTCTCTGTCTCTCGCTCTCTCTGTCTCTCTGTGTCTCTTAGGAGTTTTATAAAGGGGGCATCCTGCAGTGTCCAGAGGGAGTGTCCGTGTCTGAGCTCAGGGAGGCTTGTGACTACCTCTGTATTAATTTTGACTACAGCACAGTCAGGTGCCGAGACCTGAGTGGGTGCAGCCCCGTCTGACCAGGGCTCTGTTCGCCGTTCACAAACGTTTCACAAATGTTTTTTTTGCAGTTTTCATCCTCGTACAATTTGGGTCTCCCGTATCTGTTCCTGCCCCAGGTGCTTTGCTACATGAACTGTCCAACGATGGTGCCAAGCTTCAATTTGAGGCCTTCCTGGAGAGGCTGGTTGTCCCGGTGATGGTGTCCAGTGCACAGGAGGGCGAGAGGGAGTGTCACATCGTGGTTCTCACAGACGATGACATAGTTGACTGGGACCATGACAACCCTCCACCAATGGGAGAAGAGTACTCTCAGAGTAAGTACCCCTACTCCTAAGGGCTTACGATACAGTGACGCACCGTGGTGATGCGTGAGAATGTGTGGATAATACATTATAAAAAAGTCATAATTTAAACGTTCCTTTTAGACGATGCTATTCAATCAAGTCGAGGATCTAGCACCCATTACGTTGTGCTAAAACAAAATTCTGAGTCGTTTGACGCTACTTCCTGTTTGCTCTTCAACGTGCCCCAGTTCTGTACAGCACTAAGCTCTACCGCTTCTTCAAGTACATTGAGAACCGAGACGTGGCCAAAGCGTTGTTGAAGGAGAGAGGCCTGAAGAACATACGTATTGGCATTGAAGGTGAGTCACCCGCTGTGTCCCAAACCGAACCCCTCCAGCCTTCTCTCCGTTCCCCTGGGGGTTTAGGAGATCTGAAGGAGACGAATAGGTGTTACGGTAGCCGGTGTTTTCCAATGCCATTGGGCTCCATGTGTCTAACATCTATGATGTTTTCTCAGATCTCTGAATCCTAGATTTTGAACAGTGCATGTGTGTCTGGTTTCTCCCTGTCCTAGGGTACCCCACTTGTAAAGAGAAGGTAAAGCGCCGTCCCGGGGGGAGGTCAGAGGTCATCTATAACTATGTGCAGCGGCCCTTCATCCAGCTGTCCTGGGAGAAAGAGGAAGGGAAGAGT